GTCCGGAGCTTATCAATCAAAATATATGTAACCTTACCTGGGACTTTAGAAGAAGCCCTCCAAGGTTCTCCAACTAGTCAGTGACTTCTCTCATGAGTCTTGTCTAGGAAAACTGCCAAAGCAAAGTCCCTGGCCTGCACCTGAACCCTTCCCTGAGTAGCTGTGCACCTGTGGGCCGGCTCAGGCAATGTCTTATCTGACCCTGTAGACCCTTCTTGAACCTGTGTCAGGTCTCTGCCTCCATCTTCAGGACAGGCTTTCTGAACTCCAAAGTGTTTTCAACTCTTTTTGGACATTCTATAACCCATGTACATAAATATGTAAAGTGTAAAGTACTAAGTACTTATTAGTAAATAAGAACAGAATAAAAGAATCTGTGGTTGCCATCAGCTAGCTATCAAGCAAAATTTGTATTACTGGGCAAATAGCAACTAATAAACTGACTTAGATTGTGAATGCATTGTTATTCAATGAATTATGACATTGTATAAAGACAAATGTGCTCATCTGTATTTACCACATAACATACTCATGACACAAAAATATCAACTATGCAAAAACAGAACACAGAGAAGAAAAGACATGAAAAACATACACAGCCTTCATAATCTGTGGAATAGTATCAAGTAACCCACACACTTATACTTTAAATTTCAGAGTCTCAGGGAAAAGACAAGGGAAAAAAATTCTTGAGTATATAATGGCCAAAGATATTCTTGATTTGATGAAACCAAGCAACCACAAGTGTGACTTATTAAATAAAAGGATTATAAAGGTATACTATGCCATTAAATTAACTTCAATGAAATTGGAAAATTCCTAAAAAAACACAAACTATTAAAATTAACCCAAGAGAAACAGAACAGGTCCATAACAAAAAGAGTCTGACTAGAAATTTTAAAACTTTCTACAAAGAACAGACTCAGATGGCTTTAGCTTTGAATCTACCAAACCTCTAAAGAATTGGCACCAACTATATACAAACTCTTACAGAAACTGGAAGCAAAAGAAACATTTCCATTACTATATGAAGTCAGTATCACTTGGATACTAAAACCACACAGGTTGTTATAAGAAAAACACAACAAAAATTACTAGAAAACCAAATATAACACCAAAAAAAAAAGAATAATAATTATACACAATGACCAAGTAGGATTTCTCTGGGGGGGGGGGGGGTGTGTGTGTAAAATTATATTTGATACTATGTATAAAATCTAACCCAATATGGATCAAGACATGAAAGAAATTGGGGTAGCTAGTTGTGATAGCTAATGAGTACATTGTATCTTTTAATGGTGATGAAAATGTTCAAAGGTGCTCATTCTTACAGGGTCATAACTCTCAATATTCCAAATACCAGTGAATATACTTGGGAGAACTGTATGACACAGGTATCATTCTCAATAAAGGTATTACAAAAAGCAGTAACTTGAAAATGTGTAAGGTTATGAGCCTGGTGTGGTAGTAGATGCCTATAACCTGGGAGACATAAGCAGGAATATCATGTGCTCAAGGTCAGCCTGGGCTAGACACTGAGATCCTATCTCAAAGAAAAAGAATACTAGAACCCATGGCTAGAGAGATCATGAGATCTAGGAGTGATCCTCTTACTTTGCTAAATGGACATAGTATCAAACTGCCTTCTACATATGTATCTCTATACCCACAGATATGTGCAGCTTTCAGTCCTCATCAGAGGAGTGTCTTTGTGCACTGGATGGTGCTCAATGTAGAAACTTACAATTGGTCAAAGTGCAGAGAATAACTGTCTGGAATGATCAACCATAAATTGGACATATATATCACACCCTTCCCTTAAGCTCAGGAAACATCATGGAAGAGGGGGATGAGAGACACTTACAAAAATATTCCACATACCTAATTATATTTTTAGAATAACGTTTGTTTTGAAATTGACACATCATATTGATGGAATATAATACATGCATACAATATGCAAAGACCAAATCAGGGTATCGACAGTTTTGTGTCTCCTTTGATATTAATTTCTGATATCAAACTCGCTAGTTATTCACTGCTATAAGCTGTAGTAACCTAGATTACTGAGGAATAATATAAGCATTTCCCCTCCCCTGACTGTACTTTAGTAACAATACCCACCTTTTCTCCTATCTGTCCCAACCTCTATGTAAGTTTAAATAAAAATATAGGAAAATGTCTTTCAGGTCATAGGACACTGCAGAATTCCTTAGAAAACATAAGCTCATAAACCATATGGGAAAAGATTAATAATAATTCTAAGTGCATCTGGGTTTAACATCTCTTTATCTTGCAAGTAAATGAAAAGATAAGTTAACTGTTAAATCTTCAAAAGGGTGTAATCAAGAATATATAGAGGACTCCTGTGACTTAATATGAACAATATTAACAACTGAATAGAAAAAATGTATACAGGTTTGAGAAAAATTCTTTCAATGGGCTGGAGAGATTGCTCAATGATTCAGAGTACTTCCTGCTCTTCCAGAGAACTAGGGTTTGGATCCTAGTACCCACAAGGCTGTTCACAATTATCTGTAATCTATTCCAGAGAATCTGATGCCCTCTTCCTGCCTGCATGGGTCCCATGTACACATACATCCAGGGAAACACTCTTGCACACAAAATTTTTTAAAAATTAAAAAGAAAAATCCATTCAAAAGAAATGTAGCAGAAAAACCCATGTGAGAAGACCCTCAAGTGGTCAAGAAACACTAAACCCTGTAACCTGTTTCTCCACTGGACATGTGCCACCTGCTGTTGAAACAGCAAAGTGTCGGCTTTCTCCAGGAACTCCCAGCTTCCTAGCATTGTGCTTCTAAAACTGACTTTACTCCCTCTGAAGGAAAAGCCTTCAGCATCTTAGCCATATTTGGAAGTAGTTCATTAGAGAGGTCCTACATGTCCATTAAAAATATTTTTAGAACACACAATCCTTTTCAACACAGAAGAAGCTTATTTTAAAAAATACATTGCTAACAATAATGGAAGGAAAATTTTCAAGTTAATTTCTAATGAATACTGTTGCTTCTGAGAGTTTTGTGTAATTTTTGTGGTGTTAATTAAAAATTAAAAGTTTCAGTTACATTTTTATAAAGAAGCATAAAGACACTCAATTTCACTTATAATCTGGGAAACACAAAACACAACTGTGAAAAAATTTAAAGATTAAAAATAGTATTTAAGCAAATTATAACCCATGGTTTCTGGCAAGAGTAAACTTTTTTGTTTGTTTTACGAGACAGGGATTTTCTGTAGCTTTGGAGCCTGTCCTGGAACTCGCTTTGTAGACCAGGCTGGCCTCAAACTCACAGAGATCTGCCTGTCTTTGCCTCCTGAGTGCTGGGATCAAAGGCATGTGCCACCTGGCAAAAGTAAACTTTTAGAAGGCAATTTGATAAACTAAGTGAAATGGTGTGTGTCTTAGATCCAGTACTCGCTTCCAGGCATAAGCCTAAAGAAACAGAGCCAGGAGAAATAAAAAGAACATTTGTTACAGAACACTTTACTACAGAAAAGGGGGGAAATTGAATTCCCTTAATATAAGAATAATTAAGGAATGAAAATATTTATACAATGAATATATGCCACTGCTTGAAGTATCTGTGTAACAAAACAGATGACTTTTTAAAATTGTTACTGATCTTAAAAAGGCTAGTTGCAAATAGATATCTAGTAGATTTTATCATTTAAATAAAAGTATTTGTAGTGCCAGGGATGGATTCAGGCCTTCAGCTGTGCTAGGCAAGCACCTGACACAGAACCAAATCCTGAGCCCTAATAAATGGAAGCGTGAGAACTACAGAGATAACTCACAGTTAAGAGAGCACACTGCCATTGTCAGACAGGAGTCTGACTCCAGCACCCGTCAGGCTGCTGACAATCACCTGTAACTCCAGTTCCAGGGCATCCAACATGCTCTTCTCATGTCTATGGGCACTGCACTAACATGCACAAACGTTCTCCTTCTCCCTCTTTCTCACACATGCACACACATACACACATATAATTGAAAGTACAAATAAAATCTTAAAACACACAGAGGGAAAAAAGGAGGGAAGGGAGGGAGGTCTAGGAAGATAGCTCAGTCAGTAAAATGCTTGCAATGCAAACGGGGGACCTGAGTTTGACCTCTCAGAAATTATGTTTTAAAAAAGGTCAGGCATGGTGGAGCATAACTGTAACCCCAGCATTGGGAAAGCAGAGACAGGGCGATCGTGGGCAAAATGAAAATGATTGAGGAAGATGGCAGATGTCAACCTCAGCTTCCACATACATGCCACTACACTGACATGTGCACATAAATATACAAGACTGACTTGAAAACAGAAAACATTATATATCATTGGTGCATGAGGGGTGCATAGAAAGAGTGTGAATTCATGAAAAGCAACTAGAATAACGTGAAATCTATACGTACCCACTATGGGGGTGAAAAGTTGTAGTTTTAATGTTTGGTTTCTTTTCATTTATTTGTGTGTGTGTGTGTGTGTGTGTGTGTGTGTGTGTGTGTGCGCGCGCGCGCGCGCGCGTGCGTGCGTGCCATATGAGTGCTGGTATCCATGGAGGCCAGAAGAGGGAGTCAATCTACTGGAACTGTGATTACAGGTGGTATGAGCCACTACATGTGGAAGATCAGCAAGAGCTCTTAACCACTGAGTTACTGCTCCTGCCTCTGATATTTCATTTCTTTAAACAAAGATATATGAAGCAAATGTGGCAATATGCTAATGTCATTACATCTGTAGGACAGGAATAGACGTGTTTTATTATTTTTCAAAAATGTGTTCTTTTTGTTTGAAACAGTTCCCAATTTAAGAAAAAAAAGCTGATGATTATTCTGGTTGTGGGTACCTAAGAGAACCAAGGTAGAATAAGAGGTTATAATTTACAGTGCATTTATATAATTAAACTGTCAATATATTAAACTTATGAAAAGCCAAGGAAAGCTCACTTAAATATGATATGGATGTACTGTAAGCATATTTCTATAAACTTACTTGCTCAACCTCTCTGTTAAGGGCATCAACTTTTTCTTTCAATCTGTTGGCCTCTGCTTCAGCAGTAATAAGTTCCAATTTGAGGGTATTGTTTTCTGCCTCTGATTGGCGGGCTTTATTTTCCCAGTTTTCAGCATCTTCGTTGGCTTTTCGGAGTTGTTCCATTATTTGCCGGTTCTCAGATTCCTAAAAAGTAAGTGTTGAGTATTACTTTAAAACTTTAAAAGTACCTAACATAAAGTGCATATGGAATACTGAGAATCACTTGCAAATAATCTTGAAGAAATCCTACTTACCCTCCTAACCTAGAAAGATGGTCATCCTGTTAGGAACAGAAAGAAGTATGGTCCAACCTGCTCCCACAGTTACCCACTCAGGAGAGTGCTCTTCTCTTCAGGACCTGCACATCCTCGTGCTTCTTTTGAAGAGAATCTTCCCCACGACTGTCTACTGACCCCTGCTGTCTGAGCTGCCGACCTTCTCATCAGCACCCCCTTGCTCTCAAGTTCTTGCTCCCTTCCTCTAAATTTATTGAGCTGCACTGGCCATAGAGTTTCTGCATTCTTTCATATCTTAAGTGTCAATTTTTGAGAAGACTTATTATTTTTTTAACTGTATTGGGGTGTGCATATGCATGCTGAGTGCTGGTGCCCTTGGAGACCAGAGGTTTTGGGTCTGCTGGAGGTGACTTAGGTTCTGGACACTGAACTTTGATCCTCTGTAAGAGTGCTCTTCACCACTAAGCCATATCTCAAGACTCTGAGGATTAATTTCCTTGGTCACAGACTATAATCTCTTTTTTGCTTCCTTCTATTAAGTTGTCAGAAACTACTCAGAAGTAAAATGTCAAATATATGCTAATAATATACACTTATGTATAAGTTGCACATACAATACAGAACCAGATATTTTGGTGGAACTAGGGATTGAATCTAAGACATTGAACTTGCCAGGCAAGTGCTTTACCACTGAGCTGTATCCACCACTTGTGGGAACCAGATTTTTTTAATCTTCAAAGTGATATCATAGATGAATTAGTTTAGGTAGGCCCTGCTTTCTATAGGGAAAATTCAGTTCCATAAATAATATACTATGTTAAATAGCCATTACTGGCTACTTCAAAATCCTATTTCAGGGGCTGGAGAGATGGCTCGGCAGTTAAGTGCTTACACTGCTTTTGTAAAAGACCCAAGTTTGGCTTCCAGCAACCATGTTGGGCAGCTCACAACTTCTTGTAGCTCCAGCTCCAGGGAGATCTAGTCTCCGCAGGCATCTGCACTCATGTACAGACACACACGCACACACACACACACACACACACACACACACACACACACAGACTACACACGCCCAGAAAGAAAGAAGATTTAGTGCTGTGGCTGGCCTAGCTTGTCCTTTAAACTTCAGTTGTAATTCTCTTAGTAACAGGAACACTATCCTTCCTGTTAACACCATATTTCTCTATCAGAAATCCTGAGCTAAATAAAATAACCAAAGTACAACAAATTTACACCCCACCCTTTCAAATCAAATGCATGTTCTCCCAGTTAAAATTACTTATTAGTAAGAAACTGATTGTGAGCCAGTTACTATTGCCATCTTGTGGCCTTAGATGTAAAAGTTCTTTACCCTGTCTATTAAATTAAGTGTGCACTAAAGTACTGCCTCTCAAGACTCAGAAATTCCAAAGCTCCTGAAAGTGATGGGTACAACCTAGGAGTCTAAGCCCTTTAAAATGTTATTTATATATACTATGAACAAATGTTCAAAATAAGTTTGTATACAGACATTAAATTATATGTTAAATAAAATATGCTGCTGAGGGAAGTAAAGTTCCCACTCACACTTTAAGTCTTATGTAGGTAATACCACATCTATGATAATGATCTATTACACTATTTTAGAGATTTTACCTAAGTACATCTCTATTGTCCTGAAACAAGCTGCGTATTACAGAGCTGACACACATATCTACATCTGTTAATCTCTGAACTCTCTCTGTCTCTGTCTCTGTCTCTGTCTCTGTCTCTGTCTCTGTCTCTCTGTCTCTCTGTCTCTCTCTCTCTGTCTCTCTCTCTCTCTCTCTCTCTCTCACACACACACACACACACACACACACACAGACACACACACACACACACACACACGACTAATCAAATAATGCCTAGCCAGGCGGTGGTGGCGCACGCCTTTAATCCCAGCACTCGGGAGGCAGAGCCAGGAGGATCTCTGTGAGTTGGAGGCCAGCCTGGTCTACAGAGCGAGATTCAGGAAAGGCACCAAAACTACACAGAGAAACCCTGTCTCGAAAAGCCAAAAAAAAAAAATGCCTATAAGAAATGTGCAAACGGCTCTAAGAAACAGGTGGTCTAATACAGTGTGATCATTCTGCCCTATCAAACAATCAGGAAGAGTCACTTTTGTCTGTTTATAACAGAAAATGTAGTATTTTATGCCCCTTGTCCTTCAGTTAGGAGGACTCTTTTTGCCTAGGGTATTTACTCTGAATTAACAAACTGAAAGGTGCAGGTTCTTGAGTCATCTTTTGAGACAGGTGATTCTAAATATATATAGTTATTCTGTCACAGTCAAAACTACAATATTTGATTACAGAAAGACTTGATTCACTATTCTGATGAGCATAATAAATCACTAAGTTAAGTCTTATGAAAACTTGTAGTTATCATGAGCAAGGAAAAATGTGTATATATACCTCTGACTTTAATATATTCTTCAGCTTGTTAACCTCCATATTCGTATCCTGGACCTTCTGTTTTATATCATTGAGTTCATTATGAGTATCATTCAATTTTTTGGACAGTACCTATGGAAAAAAGATAGCTAGATTTGAATATAATAAATAAAAATTCCTATAAGTAAAAACATCTAAAGTAAATTTTAAATATTTGAAACAGATAATATAAAATTAATATAACAATCATATAAAAACTTATATGAAAGTGGTAAAGAAACAGAAGCTCAAGAGAAAACAGGCAAGGGATCCAGACAAACAAGTCATCATAAGGGAGCATAAATTGGTAACACTAAATTAAACTTCACTAGTAACCAAAGATATGCTAATTAAGAAAATGGAATAGTATTTTGCCTACCAAGTTAGTGAAGAATTAAAGCTTCAATTGTGCTAAGGAATGAGTATTTCCAGGTATTGTTTACTGTAAACAAAATTTTTAACAAAGAAATTCTGTGAACCACTTTCATAGAGACGTATTGAAAGAGAAAAAAGACATTCTCTATATTTGAAATACAAAAAATTCTATTTACAATGTTTAAAATTGTAAATTTCTATGAAATCAGTAAAAACACATGTTAAAAGCTAACACAACAGTAACTAGATAGTAGAAACACCAGGAGATATTTCTTTTTCCTTTTTTTCTGTATGAAAAAAAATCGTTCTATAATGAACTTATATTTCTATTAAAAGATGTGATATTAAGAATAAAACTCTCTAAGGTTTCAATTTTCCAAATTTTCTACAATGTTGTTTCTTATCCTGTGGTATGTAGGAAGACCTTTCTTATATGACCCAAAGGAAGAAGAAAACTACACTGGAACATATGTAAACTCTTATGATGCCAGTTTTCTTCTGGTGGCCAATCATGAGTATGCAGTTTAACAAAGCAGGGAAATTTATATTGTGGAAAGCTAGTAAGTGGCATTCTGGACACAACACTCATTTTTTTTTTTTTACAGATTATAAGATTCTTAGAATTTAAACTATAGAATTTAAACTAGATAATACAATCTAGCAATGAGAGCCAACCTCATGTGAGTCTTAAAATACCTGGTTCTATTGCCTCCTCACATAGAAAGGGCATGATATAAAGTAGCACAGTTTTTATTCCACCAACATTTAAAAATTATATGCAAAAGCAGTGTGGTAGTTTGAATGACAATGATCCCCATAGGCTCCTGTGTTTGAATGCTTAGTCCCCAGTTAGTGGAACTGTTTGGGAAGGGTTAGGAGGTGTGGTCTTGTTGGAGTAGGTGTGACTTTGTTGGAAAAGATGTCAGTGGGGATGAGCTTTTAGGCTTCAAAAGCCCTTGCCAGGTTCAGTCTCGCTCTCTCTGCCTGCTGGCTGTGGATCAGGATGTAAGCTCTTAGCTACTTCTTCAAGACCATGCCTGCCTGCCACCACATTCTCTGCCATAATGATCATGTTTTAACCCTCTGAAACTGTAAGAAAGGCCCCAGTTAAATACTTCCTTTTATAAGTTGCTTTGGTCATGGTGTTTCATCACAGCAATACAACAGTAACTAAGACAAACAGTATTACAATTTTGAATTTCTATGATGTAAGAAGAATGTATATTAGATGTCAATAGTAACTGTATCCCAGCCTGACCTCAAATTGATTTGTAGTCAAGGATGACCTTGGGCTTCTGGTCCTCCTGCTTCTACCTCCTGAGTACTGGGACTAGGGACAGCCAGCACCACATCTGGTTTTGTATGGTTATGGGGATCAAATTCAGGGATTCATGTCTGCTTAACAAGCATCCTACTAACTGAGATACATCACCAGCCTCTTTCATTTGGTTTTCTTTTTTTTTTCAAAAAATAATGTTTTAATGTTTAAATTAAAATAATATTGGAAGTGAAGACTGTCAGACTGAAATATATATATTGGCTTACACAGTGAAAAAATAGAATTTCCCTAAAAAGTATCACAGTGCTAAAAAGGTCTAAAAAAACGTATCACAGTCCATACATAATATTTAAGCACAGTAGTATGTAGTCCACTATAAACATGCCCCTGTTTTAAATTTTCTCATAGTTCTCAATCCTCATCTGTTCTCTTTAATTCAAATATTTACCCTTTGGTATGGAAGTTTTTCTAAGATTTAAAACAAATCCATTATATTCCCATTCCTTTCTCTTTAATATCTAATACTTTATGTCTGAGAATTTCATCTAGAAATTACATGACATAATCTGTTATGAAAGTGGAAAACAAGAATTGCTGGTTGCAGACTCTGCTTTTCTACAAAATGAAATGAGAGCTGTGCCTCTGAAGAAATGCATTCTTTTTCTTTGAGAAGAAGAGTCTGGGAACAAGTATACCTGATTTTCTTGTTTGGCTTTGCTAAACTGTTCTTGAAGGCTGTCGTTTTCGTGAGCCAAGATATCTCTTTCCCTGGCAATCTGAGCCAGTTCATCATTTGTTTCATCCAATTGCCGGCGCATTCTGGAAATATCTTGTTCGCACATAATTAGGGCTTCAGTAGACTGTCTATTCCACAAATCAAATAGTACATAAGAAGAAAGATTTTACTGAAATAGAATAATGAATTCTCACAAGACAGAAGATGGACAGTTAGAATGAAAACAACTGAAGAAGCTTAAAACATTTACATTTAAAGGAGCCACTGCGAAGGCCACATTTACAGTTTCACTATGAAAAGTATACTAAATAAACACAAGTCAGTGATGTGCCTGCATCTCAAATTTTCTAACACTTAATAGGAAGGCTTTCATTAGACTTCTAGCTATTATGGCTGACTCTCCCCTGCAGAGTCCTCTTCCTCTGTGCCCTTAAAAGTTGTTTTTCAGAGTGCATACCCATACCTCACTCTTCTCCTTCTAGCCCTACTTTTCAGAGAAATCCCTGTCATGTCCATGACTCCTGTATGATTCTCAATTTTCAACTCAACAAGGATTTAAAATATAGGAGACACACACCCCTGTCTGTAGAGTGGTTCCAGAGAGGGTTAAGTGATTGGGCAAGACCCATGCTCAAAATGGGCAACACCTTCCAACTGTCTTTCCAAGGGGACAGCGATGTCACCTGGAGGAAGGGCTGTACAACACACTACCTGCCCTTCTGAATGTGTGTCATACCTGCTGCCTCCCTCCTCTGCTGCTGCCACACTTGTTTCTCTGGCCTTCCTTCCAATACAACCTCAACAGTAGTGGCTCAACAGTGAGTTCCAGGCCCCCGGCACCAACCTGGCAAGGCATCCAGTTTCTTGGGGTGGGTAAGTACTAAGTTCTATGCCCTTCTGGTACATAGATTGCCACTGCTGGAATACCTAGTTCCTAGCATGTGAGGCTATTTTCCTTTAATATACATATATACATTCTATTGGTTACATCCTCTAGAGCAGTGGTTCTTAGCTTTCCTAATGTTGTGATCCTTTAATACAGTTCCTCGTGTTGTGGTGACCCTCAAACATAGAATTATTATATTGCCATTTCATAAATGTAATTTTGCTACTGTTATGAATCATAATGTAAATATATGATATGCAGGATATCTGATATGAAACCCCTGTATGGGTCATGACCCACAGGTTGAAAACCACTGCTCTAGAGAGCCCTGCCTAATAACAACTTTTTTGGTACCAGGAGTGGTTGTAAAGAAATAGAACTATAAGTATGAATTTCCATAATGGGTTTGGTGATAGCTGGAGCTGGCTCTTACTATGTTGGATTACTTACATCAGGGAAAGAGCAGCACTTTGTCTTATTGGAAAAGATATTTATTTTGGTTATGGGTTTACTTTTCCTGCATATAATGTTTACAAAATGCCTTATCCTCTTTTGTGGTATTCCACACAGCAATACTTCTGACCAGGGAACTCATTTCACAGCCAAAGAAATACAATAGTTGGCTTATGTTCATGGAATACACTGGTCTTACCTTGTTCCCAACCATCCTGAAGCAGCTGGCTTGACAGAACAGTGAAACAGCCTTTTAAATATGGAGCTATAGCACCAAATGTGCGGCAATAGCCCAGAGGGCTAAGGGTAGGGTTTTCCAGAAGGCTGTCAATGTTCTGGATTAGTGTCCATTATATGGTACTATTTTCCCTATAGTCAGGATTCTTGTCCGAGAATTAAGAAATGGAAATGAGAATGGTACCACTCACCATCATCCCTACTGATCCACTAGAAGAATGTCTGCTTCCTATTCCCACAACCTTATGTTCTGTTGGCCTAACAAGCATTGGCTCCAGAGAGGGGAGAGTGTTTCAACCAGGGGGTACATGAACCATTCCATTGATCTAAAAACTAAGGCAGCCCCTGGTCACTTTGGGTTCCTCAATCAACAGGCTAAGAAAGGAGTTAAAGTATTAAGAACGGTTGATTCAGGGAGAAACTTACTAACACCCCACAATGAAGCAAAGTAACAGCATGTCTGATATGCAAATCTTTTAGGCTATCTCTTAGTGTTACAATTCCCTGTGATTAGGACCAATGGGAAACTGTAACTTAGCCTAGGTAGGATGATTAAAAACTCTAGATCCTTCAGGAGTGAAAGTGTGTGTCATGCCCCCTATATAAAAAACCAGATTTACTGAGGGTTTTTTTTTTTTTTTTAAGGCAGAATGAGTAGTACATTATCAGTTGGTTTTTTTTTTTTTTTTTTGGTTTTTTGAGACAGGGTTTCTCTGTGTAGCTTTGCGCCTTTCCTGGAACTCACTTGGTAGCCCAGGCTGGCCTCGAACTCACAGAGATCCGCCTGGCTCTGCCTCCCGAGTGCTGGGATTAAAGGCGTGCGCCACCACCGCCAGGCACATTATCAGTTTTTAGCTTAAGACACATGATCAGTTATAGAAATCATGACTGTAATTATCACACTTATTTCCTGTATGTTTTTTGGTGGTGGTGGTAGAGGTGGTGGTGGTGGGTACATATATATTAAACAGATCTCTGTTTTTCTTTCTTGCCTTATAGCTTTAGCATGTAATACAACATTGAGTTGCTTTCAGAACATAAGTGCCATTATATCTATATTACCAAACTCAAATCATGAGTTATTTTAAAAAGTAAGCATTCTTCAAGGGACTTTGCCATTTTTCTGGAGGAAGAATTAATACATTTTCAGTTGGACATGGGATAGTTATTTCACATCACCTGGACTTATGACCTTGTTACAGTCTTCATTTAAAAATTAGGAAAGAGCCGGGCGGTGGTGGCGCACGCCTTTAATCCCAGCACTCGGGAGGCAGAGGCAGGCGGATCTCTGTTTGAGGCCAGCCTGGTCTACAGCGCGAGATCCAGGAAAAGCGCAAAGCTACACAGAGAAACCCTGTCTCGAAAAACAAAACAAAACAAAACAAAAAAAATTAGGAAAGACATTAGATGTGACTGTATGTCAAGTTGGTAAGGGGTGGAGTTGTAACAGCTCATCTTATCAACTTGGTGACACTTAAACACTCTAGGAAACATACCTCTGGGCATGTCTGTGGTGCTGTTTCCAGAGAAGCTTAACTGACTGGGGAAGACCCATCCTCAAAGTGGGCAGCACCCTCTAAATGGCTCTCCCAGGAAAAAAGTATTGTCTGGCCCCCTGCACTTCTTTCTAAATGTGGGCAGCTACAGCTGCTGCTGCTGTCATAGACTCCAACTTCTTTGGACATTCAATGTAAAATGAATACCAGCAGCCTTTCCAAGAGCCTCCAACACTGGTCTCAGGCTGCTGAGGCATCCAGCTTTGTTGACTGGGCAGCTGCTGAGTTCTCTGCCCCTGTAGCATGCAGATAGCCATTGAAGGAATATTTAGCCTCTATTTGGTACTTTTCCTGTAGAGAACTCTGTCATTCCCAGCACCATGTAAACCACAGAATAACTGCCTCCAGAATTAGTCCCCTAGTTAACATCTCAGACTCATGTTTCCTGGACACATCTACAAGGTCTCACGGGCTCTTTAAATTCAGAGGCAAAGTTGTCTTTTCCTGAACACCCCTCCTGTCATATGCAATGAGGACCTGGAACCCCGACATTTCCCTAAAGTTCCTCATCATAAAGAACTCATTCCTTCTGTCCCCCTTATCTTTTCTAAAGCCCAATTGATTGCCTCTTCTTCCTGGATAAATCAACAAAAAATACCTTAAACATTTAAAAATTGTAATAGTCTTTACTACCCAAAGGATGAAAATCAAGACTCATCTGTATATTGTACAGGCCTTTTCACGTGTTTGGTTTTTTCCTTCCTTCGCTTCTTTCCCCCCTCAAGATTGATTTAATTTCCTGTGTCTGAGTGTTTTGCCTGTGTGTGTATGTAGCACATGCATGCCTGCTGCAGGTCAGAAGAGTGTAGGATTGCCTGGGCCACCATATGGGTGCTGGGAACTGAACTGGGCCCTCTGCAAGAGCAGAGTGTGCTTGTAACAGCTGTGCCATTCCTTCAGTCCCTCGGTCATTTCTCTTGTCCTTGAGAACAACAACACTCACCTACTCATAGTTCAAGAAGCTTTTGAACACAAACTATGGTTCTTTACTGTTAGTTCTGCTTTAGAAGCCCTTCCCCTAATTTCATTCGGTGAACCTAATCCTCTCCTTTACTCCCCAAGCCAACCTAAGCCTCTGCTGAACATCAGAGTTACTGATACATAACACAGGCCCCTTGATTTTCAGTCTCCTTGTATTACACATAAATAGTATTTTGCCTCCAGTAAGTGCTCAAGTATTTTTGAATGATTTACCTTGATGCCTGTTCCATCTCAGCAATGATATTCTTCATGCCTGAAATGGTCTTTTCCTTAAAATTAATACAAATATTAAGTTAAAATCATTTAAAAATCATTTCTACCAAAGCTGATGAATAAAAAGAAATTGTTCCCCTGTGATTTTCATTTGGTATTAAAAATTTATGCCATATTCTTCACTATGCTTTAAAGTCTATAATCAATGTGTACATTTGTGCTGGGTAAAGTTAATATATTCATTAAAGAAAAGGATACTCTTTGGTGTATTGATATGTGATCATGTAACTAATATAGTGTCAAAAGGTTTGTGTAATCATTCAGCTATATAAGACTCCCATAACCACCATAGTTTGGCAATAGAATATTATATACTAAATAGTACTAATTTACTTCCATATTATAGAAGTAAAGTTTCATGTTATGAAACTTGAGAAAAGGAATATGTAACTAAATTTATTTCTTTTTTAATTATTTATTTTATTTTTGAGATTATAATATAATACAATATAATCGTGTCATTTTCCCTTCCCTTTTCTCCCTCCAAACTCTCCCATGGCTCTCTTTCAAATTCATGAAGTCCTTTATTTATTGTTACATATATATATATATATATATATATATATATATATATATATATATGTATATACACATATATTCCTAAATAAATACTAATTGCTAAGTCTGTAATAATGGGCTGACATTTGGTATTGGATAACCAATTGGTGTGCTCTTCCTTAGCCTCAATCCTACATATAAAACTGTAGGCAACTAAGTTTATTTCTTAGAAAAAACAACTGAGTATATTATTTGTATTAGCAATATTAACTTTAAATATCTGTCCCAATATATTTCAGAGCTGTTGTGAAAAAATAGAAACAGTGGAACCAGTCACGACTGAAATGGATTTGAATATATTGCTTCTCAGGCACCCATACATACTTGCACATACTCAAACACAAACACAGACACATACACATAAATAAATATAAAACCTTTAAAATAAAAGCTAAGATAACCAGGAAAAAAATCACCTTGCTCACTCTAATACAGAGTTCTTCAGATGAGCTTATTTCTGTATCTCCATATTAAACTAAGGAATGAATGCTTTGCTTTCTACTTACAGGCATTTGTTAGTTCAGTTCTAAAATGTCACTACAGAAAAAATTATCCTTTTGTTTGTTTGGGGTTTTTTTTTTTGTTGTTTTTTTGATTTTTGTTTTTTGGGGGTTTTTTTGGAGACAGAATCCATGTATCTCTGACTAGCTTGAAACTTGCATTGTAGACCAGGCTGGCCTTAAGCTTACAGAGATCTTCCTGCCTCTACCTCTCTAGGTTTACAGGCATGGGTCACCATGCTCGGCAACCACTTTTAGCCCTCTAATGCTGCCTTACAAACTATTTCCCTTCAGATGATGGATGTTTCAGAAAACCTTAAATGTCGTCATTTTGAAATGGACCTGCATCTTAGTCATCCTTGTAAAGGAAACATAATGCAGTTCACCAAATAAGAGGTATTTGAAATAGTGTATGTGGCACAAAAAATGAAATTCTGAAGAGGCAAAAAAAAATTCTAAATGTTAGTATTTTAAAAGGAAATCATGCTTATTGTTTTGAATTATAAGGATAATCAAAATCTTCACTAAAAATCATAAATTTTTAAAAAGATCCTTTTTCAGCAAACACACTCATACATGCACACACACACACACACACACACACACACACACACACACACACACACTTTTCTTCCATGACTTCAATTATGCTCAGGAATCCAAATCTAACTTCCATTTTCTCTTCAAACCTAAAATTCCAGAAGCCAGTGAATATTACATTTACATGTCCAAAGGATAACTCCAACTCAGCAGGTGAATAACCACCCTTCCTAAGCATGTTCTGTTTTTTCGTGTTTCTTCCTCATGCACAGGAACTACTGACGAGGCTCTCACTTCCTTAACAGACATGTTTCCCTCAAGGCACTGCAGCATCTTCAGGCAGGTCTCACCACTTTACGTTTTACCAGTCTCTGTCCCTAGTCTCAGTTCCTGACAGTCCATCTTTCCTGCAGATTTATAATTGCTAGAATATTCATTCTAAAATGAAGATCCAGTTGTAACCTCTCGCTCACATTTTCATAACGATAACAAGAGTCCAAGGTCAATATCACATGTATCTTTGTGACTGGGTGTTTCTATACACAGCTATTTGCAACCTATTCTCTGGCCGAAAACTCTCTGGAATGGTCTTGAAATTCTCCCATGAGTCTGTGGACTCTAGTGTCAGCTGCTCTGCCTATCACATTCCCACTGTCCTCTTCCCCTAAGTCTGGCTTATTCATAGTCATTTTTTAGGAAAACTAGGACATGTCACTCCCTGGAAGTCTTCCTAGATCTTCTTCCTCCCCTGGAAGAACTAACTCCAGGCTGAATCAGCTGTGCTTCTGATATGTCCTTATGGTGTTTACCTGTCCTTTCAGAGGAGGATATTCCTCTATCCCTCTACAACCTCATGCACCCTCCGTTTTTACTATAACACTAGTACATGTCAATAAATATTGGTTGGAAGACTGGATGGACAGATGGATATATTAATCAATTAGTTCCCTTAGAATAGAAAAAACCTTACTCCAGTGATACAATTTTGCTTAAAACATTGGTAAAAAACAGACTAGCTTGCCTTCACAATCAGTTTATCAGCTAAAGGGGGCTTCTTTAAATCCATCTTCCTTGTGAAATCTTTTGTTGTTGTTTAACAAGAAAAAAAATACATGTGTGGCATTATCACCCAGCTTTATGAACAAGAACCACACAGCCTTTTCCTAAAGACTGGCAATGGCATAAAAATATGTGCCCCCAAAAATACCTGAAATAAGCTGGGCTTGCTGGTGCACACCTTTAATCCTAGTACTTGGGAGGCAGAGGCAAACAGGTCTCTAGGAGTGTGAGGCCAGTCTGGTCTACATACTGAGTTTCAGGCCAGCCAGTGAGACCTGTCTCAAAAAACGGAAAAAGTGTGTTCCTAGTTTACAACCACAAAGGCAGTTTTAATGGAATGAGCATATGACTTTCCAAGGTGATAGACTTAAAATGTTCGAAAGAAAAAAAAATTCTTACTACTTTATTTTGATTTAGTTATTATCAGTAAACCTGAATCACTAATTCATGATAGAAAAATAAGTTTTAAACACTAGCTAGATTTGCATGCATGCTTCCTAAAACTTGCTTAAGACATTTCAACATCAGATTTTAAAGTTTTGGTTTTCTAGGAAAATCCTATTCTTTTATTCAGAGTCAAGGAACCCACAGTTTAGTATTTAAACATTTCATTTAAGCATATCTTGTCTACTAGTTCTCAGAACATACTTTCATTGCCAAACTCTCTCCAAGTGATGCAATATTCTCAGACTTTTTATCCAAACATGCTTGCAGGCATTCCTTTTCTTTAGCCAGATCATTGAGGGTTGCACCAAGAATGCTGATTTCTTCTCGCTGTGCAATACTTTGCCTCGTAAAATTATCTAAATAATCATAAAGGCGTTGTTTTAATCAAGATAAAATCTTTTTTCCAGTTCATCAGATTGAAATTTTTTCCAACTAGTTGTCCTATGTTATCCAATCACTTAAGAGTAACATAACCCAAATAAAAAGATTTTGTTTGTGATTATAAATGATAGTGAACCACAAAGTTCTAAACGCCCATAAATGTAAAAGCACAGTTTGAATTATAGCAAAAGAAAGCTCTATGTCAATATCTAATCAGACTGATCTGTGTGGTAGGGAGCACAGAAAGGGAATGAATGAGGCAGGTGGAATATCAAAGCAACCGATGGGTTTTCTCCATTAAATTCCTCTCCTATCTAGCCTAGATGACTGTTGAATGTAAAGTTGACAACACATTTTAATAAAATATTCAATTAAATCAGCTTTAGAGTTAATTGTCTCCCAATTTTGATTCTTTTTTATTTTTCTAAAATTCCTAAGTAGGAGAATCATTTATGGTATCCTATTTGTGAGAACTCTGACAAGCCAATGTCAGTATTGAAGGCATGAATGATTTCTTTCGAAGCAGGGTTTTTTGTTTGTTTGTTTTGTTTTGTTGTTTTTGTTTTCTCTCGGAGCTGAGGACCGAACCCAGGGCCTTGTGCTTGCTGGGCAAGCGCTCTACCACTGAGCTAAATCCCCAACCCCCGAAGCAGGGTTTTTTAAACTGTAGTTTGTCACCCAACTCTGTCTGAACCACCTAGGAAACACCAACTTTTAGGCTTTCCACGGTCCTACTGAATCAAAAATTCTGATAATGGAGACAGCAACTTGTATTTTGACAAGGACACTGTGCCCCACACCCCACAGTGATGAGAACTTTGGTCTAGAGGTAGATGCTTTAGGATCACAGAATTACCTGGCATAAACCTTCAACAAGTCTGGCTCCAACGATCTTTGTTAGCTTCTAGGAGACTATGTCACATGCCAGAGTTTAAGAACTACTCTTCTAGTGCTCTGCAAGGAGAGCTCTGCTAGACCAAACTTCTAGAATAATGCCTACAGAGTTAATTCCTGTCAAGAGCCATTCCAGTGCAGCGCTTAAGTGGTGATACCAGCCTACCAACCACATCATACGGTACTTAACAATGTCATGGTCTTTCTCAGAGGCAATAATGCCTCTCAGGCAACACACAGGTTTTGGTGTTTTTATATCTGTGTATATTTCCACTGAAAACCAATCAATCCATTATCTAGCTATCATGGTGTTGTCAACATAACAGAATCTAGTACCACTTAGGAGAAGGGTCTCTTGGCATGCCTATATGGGATTATCTTGATTATATTAATTGATGTGAGAGATATTTCTTAATTGGAGGTGGGAACATCCTCCAGGCAGTAGGTTCTAGGCTGTATATAGAAGGTAGAGAAAGAAGCTGAGCACCATGCACGTGTCTGTTGCTTTCTTCTGTTGCAGACATAATGTGACTAGTTACTTTAAGCTCCTACAGTCTTGACTTTCCTACCATTAGGATGAACTGTACTTTGAACAGTAAACTGAAATAAATCCTCCCTCCCTTAAGTTTGTTTTGACAGAGTACTTTAGCACAGCAACAAGAAAAGAAAATACAAATATCTGCTTCTTTAAAATTCTAATAAATACAGTATTCTGTTTGTTTGGATTTTTTGTTTTGTTCGGTTTGGGGACAGGGTCTCATGATATAGCCCTGACAGAGTTGGGACTTGCTATGTAGCCTAGACTGGCTGGAACTCATGATCCTCCTACTTCAACCTCCTAAGTGCTGGGATTTCAGGTATGAATTACCATGCTGGATTCTTGCTATCTTTTAATTGTTTGGGATTACAAAGAAAATTACTTGGATAAAATTTCCTATGTAAGTTGATGTGATCACATCTTCCTCTTCTTAGAAGTACCAGGTAAAATTTTCTTTTGGTTAGACTTATGGAAGATGAACTTATTTCTAACATTTGAAATTCCTAGGAAAAATAGCCTTCTCCAGGGAAGAACACACCAATTGGTTATCCAATACCAAATGTCTCAAGAGTCTAGCCCAACTCTTTATTTTGTAAACTCTCTAGTGTGTTTATACTAATGAAAATATTAAAAATAAAACATATATAGGTATATGCATATATAAGTGTATGTATGTACATATGCATAGGCATATGTACTCCCCAGCCCGTCACAAAGGCTCAAATTGGTTTCACTTTCACAATGGCCATTACCACTGGTGGTCATCCCACAGTGCTGGCATCTCCAATACAAGTGGGTCTCTACTGCTTTCCTGGCCTTGCTTCAGGGATTCTGAATCTACCTTTTGGTACAAATGTGATAAATACATACATATAATGTACCTTATACAAAAGTCTCGTGAGATACTTCTGTTCTTTCCCACTTCTACTTGACTTCTCATTCATTCCTAAACTCACTGTCCCTTCCACAAATAATACTTCAAGCTTCTGAGGGTCACTGCCAGTGTGCTACAGTTTATTGATAATTTTTAGCCCCATATTATTTTATTTTCCAATAATATCTGACAAGAGATCATACCCTCTCTTTAAAACACCTTTCTTTCCTGCCTTCCAAATAGATTAACTTCTGGGTTTTCTTCCTACTTCTTTGGTTTCTTCTTACTGTCGAATTCTCTTCTCCTTATTCTCTGCCCCCCCCCCCCCCCGCAGGTGACTTCATGGTTTTAAAATACCATTTATATATAGTTATAGTATCTTATTATATTACCTTTCATATTTCTCTTTGAATATTTCCTGTCTCAATCAGTAGCAATTTCATCTACCTAGTTACTCATACTAACATTTACTGAACAACGGGGGGGGGGGGGGTGTTAAGTAATTTTTTTTTATTTTTGAAATTATTATAATATAATTACATCATCCCCCTCCCTTTTCCTTTCTTCCTCTCAACCCCTCCCATGTAGCCCTTTGCTCTGTTTCAAATTCATGGCTTCTTTTTCTTTAATTGTTGTTACATACATGCATGTGTATAAATATTTAAATACAACCTGCTCACACCATATAGTGTTACTTGTATATATGTTTTCGGGGCTGTAGTACTGGATAACCAATTAGTGTGCTCTTCTCTGGAAAAGACTATTTTTCCTGAGAATTACAAATACTAAAAAATTTCCTTATCTTTAGTCTTCCATAATCCTAAAAAAAAATTTGTCTGTTGCTTCTACGAAGAATGAGATAGGTTCACATCAACATAAATGGAAATTTTTTTTATCAAAGTGAACTTTTTTGTAAACTCAGACACTATTATAGATATAACTAAACATGTGAACATTTTCTCCCCAAAGTGGAAATACATACACATTACAATTCCTTTCAATAGCTCTGAGTAAGCTGTCATGTTATATAAATAGTATCAGATTACAAGTAATTATAACAAAGAAAAGGGGGCTGCTGCTTTATCTCTTCACTGACAAATTCAAGTCATAACTAAGTATTTGTGGTTTTAAATCTAAGCTTAAAAATGCTGCAGTCAAATAAAAATGCATTTCCCATTAATCATATTCATAAACTTAAGCTAAGGGCCTCTTCCTAAATTTATGTATATTATAACTAAAGGAAAGAAAAATGTATTTTTCTACCAGACTTAAGAAAAATAAAAGGCAATAACAGAAAAAAACTTACCAATTTTTTCATCCAAGCACATAATTTTCTCCTGAGTAAGCTGTAGTTCATATTTTTTCTTAGCAAGGTGTCGCTGAGTATCAGAAAGATCTTTTTCTGTGTTTTCATATAGAAGTCTGAAAATATTTTAATAATAAAAACTAATTCTGGAATTTTTATGTTTTGTCAACTTTTAGTATATTTAAATCTAAAAGCTTTTAAGGACACTAATGTGTTTTCCCTTTTAATATTGCCATTATTCTAAAACCGCACTGTAGAAAGTTTACAGAACAAGGAGTAGGGCTAGACAGACAGACAGCTCAGTTGGGAAAATGCCTACAATGCACACATGAGGACCTGAGTTCAGATCCCCAGTATCCAAATAAAAGGCTGGCCTAGAGGCCCACGTGTGTTTTTAATCCCAGAACTGGGGCTGGAGAGGGCGGGAAAGGCAGATTCCTGGAGCTCACTGGTCAGACAGCCTACCCAATCAGCGAACCCAAGATTCAGAAAGAGAAAGACTGGATCTCAAAATTGATGGAGAGCAACAGAAGACTCCCAGTGTTGACCTTCACACATATTCATTCATTCATTCATTCATTCATTCATTCATTCATTCATTCTCTCCTCTCTCTCTCACTCAGGCTTGTTTTATTTTGCAATGCACATTTTAGAATTATCATGCTTTAAAGTTAAACTGAATCGCATTTTACCAATACTTAATATTTAGTATTTTAAATCTTATAATGCAGCTCTCCAGATCATGATTTTCTGGCTAAAAAATTATTACATGAGTAATAATCACTTACTTTTAAGCAGATACACCGATCCCTTGTTATTAGACTTTTAAGTTTATTCCAGTTTTCACTTTTACAATTAAATCTCTAGTGAACAGCATCTTCTTCACTCCACAAGCATTTACTGTTTGGTATGTATGAGCACTAGGTGCAGAGGAAGCAGTGATGAATTAAGTTGGCACTGTCTATGCCCTCAGGAAGTTCACAGTCCACAAGTGAGTACACAGACTTCCATTTCTAGAAATACGAAAGTCCTTTCGCCAAAATCACACTTAGGCATACTGAACATAATGGGTGAAGTCACTATTTATTTATTTATTTATTTTGTTTTTACAAGACAGGGTTTCTCAGTGTTGTCTGAGCTGTATTAGAACTCACTCTTGTAGACCAGGCTGGCCTCAAACTAAGAGATCCACCTGCTTCTACCTCCCGAGTGCTGAGATAAAAGGTGTACACCACTACCACCTGGTAAAGCCACTTTAAATGTAAGACGAAATGTGCAATAATTTGTAAGGAATGTCTCCTAGTATATAATCAAAGCCTTGAGACTTATACTAGTCGTGTTGTGTCTGTCTCAGTAGCTTAGAAAAGAAAAGGATGCCTCAAGTCTTTATCATGAAGAATAGACTAAAATAGCCCACCTAAGGCCACTGAGCCACTGTTGGAAGGTCAGCCTAGAGAAATTGTCAGTTGTTAAAAGGCTCAGGGAATTCTTCCTTGTGGAATTCTTAGTATTAAAAGAAAATAAAAGTCAAAAGTTGATTCCAGGTTGGACACATAAATGTGTGGTACTGGCAAAACTTTTCTGGAGACAACACTCTCAACCCAGGCGAGAGCTAAATCTCAGAAACAGTCCTTTTGAAAATGATCCCCCATTTCAAATCACAAATTATATTAAAAGCAATACAAATTTAATAAGAGGTTAAAAGTATAAAAGCTAAATGAGATACACCCAAATTTCCGAGTACAGCACTATTGAACAGAAGCTTTAAAACAGATATATTTAAATGCAGACATAAAATAAAACATAAAATCAAAAAAAAAACAACAGCTTTTAAAATATTATCACAAAATTAAATTAATATCATTCAAAAATTTAAAAACAACAAAGCTCAATGTACAAGTTAAGATAAAACTAAAGAGAGAACTAGCAAAATGGAACAAACAGATCAGAGAAAATCACCTTTATCAAGAGCACAGGTAAGGAGGTGGAAACTGGAAGAGGAAATGGCATAAAGATGGAAGTCAGAAGGTCTGTTATTTACCTAATCAAAATCAAAGATCGAGAATAAAGGCAATACTCAAAGGAATGATGGCTAATCAAAGACGAAATCTTAGACTAAGGAAGCACTAATAGGCATCTATTATGGCAATTGTAAGTGGGTAAAAGTAAAAGAACTTCAAAGGATTGAAAGGAGGGACAGGGTAGATGAACTCAAACTAACGAAGGACAATTATTATGAAATCCCACTGCAATGTGAGCTAATTAAGAATAACAACAGGGGCCATAGAGGTAGAGACACTTGTTGCTCTTGCAGAGGACTCAAGTTCAGTTCGCAGAATCCAGAAATGGTTCAAATCCATCCATAATTCCAGTTCCATTAATCTGATGCCCGCTTTTGAGCTCCATGGGAACCAGACACACATGTGGTACATATGCATACATGCAGACAAAACACTCATAAACATAAAAGAATCTTAATTTCTTAAAAAGAATATCACAACAACAAAAAAGGAACTTGAACAGAGGTATCCTATATGAACAGAAATGTTCCAGAAAACACAGGTTATTAAATGAAAAATCTGTGTTAGGCATGGGATACCCAAAGACACCAAAAACAATACAGGTTATTGCCACCACTTTCAGTTGACCACCATAACTAGGCAGTAAGACTCTACTGTTGAAGACACCAAGTACTTTGCAGGACACTCATGGCTAGGAAAGTATTATGGTCAAGGGAGGAACCTCTTGGTGTTGTCTTTCTAAATGGTCATGTTGTCAAACTTCCTTCTAAATATTTGTTTTTATCCATAGATTTGCACTGTTCTCAACCTCGGGCAGAGAAGCTTCTTACCACAGTAGGTAGTGGTTATGAAAAAGACTCAATACCTGTTCAAAGTACTGAAAATAAGTGACTTTGAGTGCTCAGGGAACATCATAAAAAAGAAGGAAAGAATGTATAAGTCAGAGGGTGAAGAGGAGTACTGCAAAATGCTATCCTCAGCATATAAGTGTTGAACACATGAACTCAACAACTAGGGTTACCTGCACAAGACCAAGCTAGTTAAAAATTCCAACATGGAGGTGGGAGGAACTCCCAAGGCCTTACTCCTAGCCAAAAATCTACTAGCAGATGCTTGCTGCTATGAGAGGGAGAGCCACTCTTTTTCAAAGGGTAGCCATGAGCAGGATGTCCATGCTCTCAGTGGTTAGCCCCATAGCCATGTGCAAATAGACAGTTCTTGGTTTAGTGGATATCTATACCTATACCTATACCTATACCTATACCTTTATCTATATATGTGGAGGACTTGAAACTTAAGGGAGATGTAATAGGGAGGGAACAGAAGAGTAAGCAGAAGGGAGTGGGGATTGGATAAGATTAATATGTATTGTATACATCTATGAAATGTTCAAGTAAAAAAGAATTCACAGGGAGCCAGATTTCTACACTTTATTCAAAGTATTAAATGTGACAAGTAATACCTAGAGAAATCACTGAAAATGATATACAAACAGTAAAAAAAATAGCACACACACACACACACACACACACACACACACACACCCCAAAATGAAAATTTTAAGATGTCAAGTAACTCATTCAGAAGAAATGAAAACAGAGGGAAGAAATAAAAATAAAAATAAATGAGAGAATTGAACTATACCCATAATTACAGTAAATGTGTATGTTCTGTCTTATTTTTATAGCACCAAACTGAAAGCAAACAAAATGTCCCTCCTAGCTTTCATGGTAACAGAAGGTATCAAGCAAGCTTCCAAAGGAGGGAAGCAACCAACAGTCCGACCCATCTATGATGCATATGAACTGCAACTACCATGGCACAATAACCCTAAGGGTCCAGGAGTGGCACACAGAACTTGGTGGTAACCATCAACTCTCTAACTGAACTTAAGACCAACTCAACAAGAGGGAGGCCATGTCTGGTACTAGAAATCTAAATAACTAACAATGCTAGTGAAGTCATGGTTATTGGAGAATCTACAACCACTAATTTACTAAGTCAACATAATCACTAACAATCTATAAACATTTGTGATAGTTTGCATTCACAAGATTTTGATCCAATGTATTTTTACATGTGTGCTAATTAAGACTTCATGTTTTCAAGACCATTCTCTCCATACTGTACTATCGTATCTCAGCTAAACTAACATTATTTGAGGCTTCCATATAATCTGAATGGAAACAAGTCCTTTCCATTCCATTCTTGTGTGTGCTAGAATTGTCAAGACTGTGTAGCTGTCCCACATGCTGTAGGTACAAGTCCTCTTATTCTAAGATAACTGAAGTCCTTGAGGCTTTCCTACACACATATGGTTTCTCTTCAATGTGAGCTTTTTTGTGTGCATTTAAACAGTACTAGAATGATTGAAGGCTGTCCCCACAGTGCTTATATGTATGTTTCTCTTCTTTGAGAATTCTTTTGTGTATCTGAAAGAAATAGAACACTGGAAGGTTTTCTTGCAGTTTTTGTTATTGATGGTGGGTTGGGTGTTTTGTTTGCTTGTTTTGTTTTTGTTTTTTTCATTCATGAAGTTTCTCTACCATGTACATTCATGCATGTTTTTGATAGAAAACTGAATAACTGAAATTTCTCCCACTTACATGCTTACATGGAGGTTTCATTCCAATGTGAGCACTTTCATGGAACTGAAGAGTACTTGACTGGCTAAAGTCTTCCCTATATGGCTTATATTCATAAGGATTCTCCCCAGCATGGGCCCTTGTATGACTTCTAAGAGAACTGAGAAAACTGAAGACTTCATTACATGGCTTACCTTTACACAGTATCTCCAATGTGTACTTTTTCTTTGCTTCTGGAAGCACTGGAAATAAGTTAGTTTTCCAGAATTCTAGTTCGGTTTTGTTGCTATACTAAACATCAGGACCAAAAGCAACTTGGAGCGGGAAAGGTTTAATTGGCTTTATTTCCAGGTTACAATCCATCATTAAGGGAGGTCAGGGCAAGAACTCAAAGGAGGAGCTTTAAGCAGAAACCAGGAGAACACTTGTCTACTGGCTTGCTTCTTGTGGTCTAGTCAGCAAGCTTTTCTATATAACCCAGGCTAACCTGTCAGAGATAGTGCCACCCAC